CTCAATGTACAAGCAATCCCCTGATTGAAAGACCAACCATTCATTTGTGAGATGGCTTATCCCCTCTTTAGGAGTTAGTGAATTGGAGAAGGCAATTATAAATATTTCTGGGGAGATTAAAAAATTAGCAAATTCTATCGCTCATGGATTACTTACCCTGCAAAAGGATGTGACAGAACTTTCAAAAATAACCATTCAGAATAGAATGGCATCGGACATGATTTTATCTTCACAAGGAGGAGTATGTACTATTTTAAATGTTAGTTGTTCTATGTATACAGATCAATCTGGAAAAATAATAACTGATGTTAATAAAATTTAGGAAGATCAACTATGCAATTTACACTGAAGTTTGAAAAAACCCTAAGAAAGCCATGCAACACAGATCCCACACATTTAATAGGTATAAGACCTCACACTCATATCTCTGTCAAGTCAAAGTCTAGCAGGCCTTGGTCAAGGATCAGATTGCAGAGCTGTATGTAGCTTATACATGGGAACCAAGTCTCTCAGCTTCTACAACAGCTCCTGAAGATGGAGCCAGTGCCAAAAAAAAAAAAAAAAAAAAAAAAAGTGATATCGGTGGCTAAACTTAGTGCTTGCTCTTGTATTCTTTATGCCTCTAACATGGGACTCAATTACCTAAGCCTAGGCAGCTAGCATTTAACAACCTTGCCTGGGTCTAGACAGATACACCACTGCTGTCTATTACTTCACTGGGCTCTGGCAGGGGAATCTGAACACGACAATGCTGGTAGACTCTGTATGTGAACACATGTCGATGACTGAATTGGCATGAATTATCAATCCTTATCAGCTTTCCAGTTTCAGAAAATTTCTTCTCCACAAGACATTTCTACGGAATTCTTTCAGACATGGATTTTGCAGCGGTCTACAGAAAAACATATGGACACTAAGTCACTAAGTGCTGTCCACGGCCAGTGTCCAAGGGTGTACATAAAATTAAAGCTCATTCATCATCAGCCAAAGTGATACCTATTATTAATTTACTGTACTGCACATCAAGAAAATAATTATGAATAAAGTAAGAAGGTAGAGCAGTTTGCAGTGACCAGACATGGGGCTTGTTCAAATAAGTGTACTTACCAGTAGTCTACTTATGCACAACTGGATCCTTTTCTCCCCTTTTCTCTGCTTTCCCATCCACACTCCATCTTTACCCCCTGCTTCTCTGCAGTTCTCCCCTCCCCTCAAGAAAACTGCCCAGGTACTGTGACAAGGGTCATGTGCATGTTAAGGTGTACCAGCTGATAGCCAGCTGATTCTGTGGAACCTTTAGAAGGCCAACAGCATGAGGAATTGCAGGATGTTACAGATAACCAAAGTACAGTGGTATATATGCAGATGGCCAGCCTCAACCTATGGCATCACTAACAAGACAGAAACATAAGAAATGGGAGCACATGCTACGTATCGAAGGGGTTAGTATCTTTAGAGAGCTGATGTCGAGAATAGAAATTAACAGGATACCCATATAAATTTCAAATGAGTGTAAAGTCATCAGGTCTTTAAGAACAACATTTTTTTAAAGTACAATAACTGTCCATCCTGAGCCTCAGGAAGAAAAACAGACACATCGGAAGACCAGCTTGGTTAAACAGGAAACTCATAGCTACATTGCAAAACAGCTCCATACAGGAGGTGGAAGCCAGGACAGTCTACAGATTAGTAATCTAGAACCATTGATCAGGCACACAGGGCTGGTGTCAGGAAAGCCAGAGTTGAGACTTGCAAGGGAAGTGCAATAAACAAAGCTTCTACTTTACAGGTAATAAAGGGCTGAACAAGAGAACTGTAGGACCATTGCTGAATGAGCAGCAGAAACAGATGAGACTGTGCCATTTAATGCCTTCTCTGCATCAGCCTTTACCAACAAGGTGTCCCAGGGCTCTGTGATTAGTTAAAGGGTACAAGAAGGATAGTAAGTACCAGCAGTGTCTGAGAATCGAGTTGGGAAATGTTTGAGAGAACTCAACTCATTCAAGTCCATGGGATCCAGCAGGCTCCACCTGATGACAGTTAGAAAACTGGCCAATGTACTTGCAAAACTGCTCTCTTAGCCTGGAAAAAATCATGGAGATCGGAGGATGTTCCCAAGAACTGGCAGAAGGTAGATCTTAAAAAGTGGCTTTAAAAAGGGATCTGAAGAGCGGTTATCCTCACATTGGTCCTGGGGAAAATCATGGAGCAAGTCTCAAATCCCATCTTAACAGAAATGAAGAAGGAAGAAGCTGGGAACTGTCAACATAGATACAACTGGTGATATCATAAATCATGCCTAATCAACCTGATAGCCTTATAGCATAGCTTCCTAGCATTCACAGACAATTCACAGGAGAGCAGTAGATATCATTTACCTCAACTTTAGAAGGGCTTTCAATAGTGTTTTCCATAATACATTGTATACAGTTTTAGACATTACAGGCTGTGTAGGCAGTCAATCAGACAGGTAAAAAATTATTCAATACATCTCAGAGGGTGGTGGTTAGTGGGTAGTATTGTGTCTGAAAGCCTATAATAAGGGAAGTACCATAGGGGTATATAATCTGTTGTTCATCTTGTTTAATGTGTTTATGAATTACTTAGAGGAAGCAAAGAAGTTTATTCAAGGTAGCAGATGACACCGTATCAGTGTGACTAGTTGGCATGTTCAAATGCAGAATTGCCATCTAAAGAGACACAGACAGACTGGAGGGATGGGCCAAGAGAAACCTTACTAAATTCAACAAGAACAGTTGCTAAATCCTGGTCCTGGGAAGGTAGACACACACACACACACACACCCACACACACCCACCCACGCCGCCCCTTGCAACAGCATGAACTGTGGACTGCGTGACTGGGGATTGGATCTGCTCAAAAAGACTTGCAGTGGTCTTCTCAGACAGCAAGCTGAACATGAGCCAGAAGTGTACCCTGATAGAAAAGAAGATCAAAAGGATCTGGAGTACATTAAAAGGAGCAAAGAGAAAATATTATTCCCCTCATTTATTCAGAACTAGTTAGACCACATCTATATACTGCTTCCAGTATTTAGACCTCTCAGTAAAGACAAGTGAAGTATCAATAAGCTGGAATGAGTTTGGTGGAGGGCTATGGGATGGCCGAGGGGCTAGAGCACTTTCCCTGCGAAGAGAGGCTGAGAGAGCTGGTCTTTATCAGCTTGGAGAAGAGGTGGCTTTAGGGGGACCTTATGGCAGCTTTCTAGTGACTCTCTTTTGTACTGTTAAATCTACTTGAAAACAGAAATATCATGAGAAATTTTTCGTTACAGTTTTCCTCAGCAGTAAGCTTTCTGTTTTTCAGAAAAATAAAATCGTAGTTAGGAAGATAAGCTTCTATGTTTTACTCTTTCTAGATCACAGATTGGGGAAAAAAACAAACAAACAAAAAACAACCCAAGAAATAAGTAGCAAAAGGTTTTTTCACCATTTTTTTTCTTACTTTATTCCTTTAATGTTTGTGAAGGTAGTCAGACATTATGAAAAGTACCCTTGAAAGCACATCCCTGGTGAACAAGCAGCAAAATGCTTTGCCTAGACAACTTTCCCAAAGTGTTACTCATAACATGTAGTGGAAAGATATAGCCTGAGTGAAATATACTGTAAAAGTGTTCCAGACTGAAATCCTTAATGTATTTTTGTGTGCTTTAAAAATCTTTTATTTTTCAAAATAGAATTTGACATTAAAATGATTTGATCTGTTACATATGAATATTCCCCAGAAAACAGTTTGGTTAGCTGAAATATCTATACTATTTCTGGTGAATTTTGGATACAGTTTTACTAACAAGCTCTTTCTTTCAGATGTGTATCAGTCCATTGTAGCTGGGGTGCCCTATAAAGTGTCTCCACCCATGAGATTACTCCCCAGAGATCCTCAACAATGACTGAAATTAATGCTTTGTACAGTTCTGCCTTTATCTGTGTCTATCTATATTTATGAAAGTCAAACTGACCAGGAGGTAGTTCAGTCTAAAATGGTTTCTATCAAATATCATGTTGTAGTCAATGTAAGGGTTTAGTAATAAAACTCATAGACTACAGAGTAAAAGGATGGTTGAATACCAGGTAAATATTTTTCTGATACTGTCATTAATTGTGCCTCAACCTTTAACATGTAAGTTACTGATGTATCCAGTCTGAGACAAGGACCTGAATGCAGATTGAAACCTAGCACTACCTAATGTGTTCACAGCTTGGAAAATAACTCTGTAAAAATTGGACACATACTCAATATTATGCATGATGATTCATAGGTAAGTAGATACCACTGCTCTGTGCATCAGCCTTATGGATATGGGAAATTGAATTTATTCTTATGTACTACATTGCTCTTAATCAGCTTCTAGTAACAGATTATTCTCTATGGATCCCACTCTTGAGGTAGAAATTCTATGTTTGCTTACATTATTTAACAAGAAATTGTAAGATTGATGGTGAATCTGTGTGCAAGTTTGTACTCCTCCATGACAGCATTTTGAGTTCTTATGTGTGCTCTTGCATATGTATGTTCAGGACCATGCAAATAAATGATGGGTTTATGTTTCTTGCAATGAAAAGCAGATCTTGTGTGTGTGTGTGTGTGTGTGTCTGAGTTCACGTGTTGTATATGTGTACATTTTTACTAAGGATTAGTATAGGTGATACATATATCTATATATCTATATATCTATATATCTATATAGATATATATATCTCCTTATACATATCCTTGTGTGCAAGTGTGGAGAGTAGCTGTCTACTGGACTTTTTGCAATTCATTCTATATTTTTCTATGTGAAGTCAATTAAATACATGTTAAAACATATTTCAGGAAGGAGAGAGAGAAGGAGGGGAGGGAGGGGAGGGAGAGAGAACAGACTGTTCCCTAAGGCTTATTTGACAATCATAATCTTTATAGATAGTGCTCTCACCACTGAAAGTTAACACAGTCTGATATTATTTCCTTAGCAGACAAATCCTACCTCTTTCTAAGAGATGACAAATGTTACAGCAGTACTGGAATTGAGGCTACTGGGCTTCAGTAGCAAACCACACAGCCAGATCCTGCTATTCACAGTGGTTTTGGTTATTTACATTCTCACCATCCTAGGAAATATTATTATTTCAGTGGTGACACTGGAGCCACAACATCATTCATCCATGTACACATTTCTCAAGAATCTATCTTTCCTAGAGGACTATTACACCACTACAACTGTACCCAAGATGCTGGCCAATCTACTGGCAAAGAGGAAGAGCATCTCTTTCTCAGGATGCATGGTACAACTTTACTACTTAATTTCCCTGGGAGCCATTGAGTGCTACCTCTTGGCAGTAATGGCATATGACCAATTCCTTGCAGTCTGTGAACCCCTGAACTATGGTGAGGCCATGACTTCAGAGTCTTATATCCATCTCGCTGTGGTCTCCTGGGTCACTGGGGTTTTCTCAGGTTTTCTGCCCTGTCTAATGGTCTCCAGATTGCATTTCTGCAGTTATAACCTAATTGACCACTTCTGTGATATCTCTCCACTGTTGAAGCTGTCATGCTCAGACACCACTGTCACAGAAGCTGTCATCTTCATCCTGTCTCTCCTGGTCCTTTACAGCCACTTTCTGTCACTCTTGTCTCATACCTACTTATAATTCACAGTATCCTGAAGATACCCTCTGCTTCTGGAAAAAGAATTACCTTCTCCACCTGCAGCTCACACTTCATTGTAGTGACTATGTACTATGGTACAGTGATTTCCATGTACATCTGTCCCACCTACAACCTGTCCTCAGAGCTCAATAAGGCTGTATCTGTTCTCTACACAGTGGTCACACCCCTTCTAACTCAGTAACCTACAGATTGAGAAACAAGACATTCAAGAAAGACTTGGAAAAAAATAGTTATCAGACACCATAGTCTTCATTCTTTGTAAGCTGAAAACACTTCAAGACTGACTCTTTTGACTGACTTGTTGATATTCAGACTCTTTGTTGTATTCTGACTATCGAACAGGTTATTATCATGAGCATGAGTAACAGCAACAGTTGTTGCCTCCCTCAGAATAACATAAGAGCATGACTAGTCCCTGTTATCTTTCTATTACTCACAGAATATTACCACTCTTAGAGATACGTTGGGCAATGCAGTGGAAGAAATCTGATTTGCACATGACTATTCTATGATGAGATGAGTAAGAAAATTATATGCATTTGTCTGAATTCAGGTAGAGGCAATAAACAAACACATTCACTTTGTTTCACTGAAAGGTTAATAAATGACAGAGAAGTGATGATGTTTAGAAACTTTCAGAACACCATGAGTTTGCATTGTTTTAGATAAAATGAATCACATTCTTGAAGTACCTCTTTTTCTTATGCATAACAATGTCATTCTAGAGAGATAGTTCACCTGCAGCTTCCCCAGTTTTTGCTGGCCATACAGAGAGTCCTATGCAAACTCGGACCCAAGACCTCCCTCTCTACAACTAGTCCAGTTTAAAGTTTGCTTATGAATTGCGCACACACACATATTTAGACACACATGAGGTTTGAGGAAGATGAGGTCAGCATGCAGGCTGACCCAGTGGTCTCACTCTAGCTGCTGGTGCTGAGATCTCACTTGCTCCACTCGTCTCTGTTCCCCCAAGTAGTTGGTATTCTGGACACAAAGTCTGTGGGACATGAATACAGTTGGTCCCAAGAGCTATGGCTCCTCCAGCTACTGACTCTGAGACCCCACTCACTCCAGTAGCTGATGCCATGGGCAAGGGGCACCAACACACTCATTCTGATGCCAGTTGCTCCTCCCATATCCCCCCATGCCTGTCTGCCTAGTAGCTAACAGTCCTTACAGCTACTCACACACACCTGGGGCAGACAGTGATTCCACAGAGACATAGTTAAGAAAGGATTTAATAAGAGATAAGACAAAGCATGGTGATCAGGCACAGGTTTTGGTCAGACAAGCATACTGACCAGCAATGGTTTACACATTAATGGCCCCATTGAAACTTTCTGCTTTTTTCCTCCCAAGCTTGTCCCTCATCCTAATGTATCATCCCTGCACATTCCTTCACCCTTCATAGCTCCACCCACACCCCTTAAATGCCCCAAATCCTGATGTTCCTCGTTTCGTCCTTCTTATTAGTTTGAAAGCACATGTAGTCCTCTCTGAAGCTTTGTCTGGAGCTTATAAATGGCCCATCAATTATTAACTGGACACTTTCAGTCTTTGGCATTGTCTCCTTTACCTGTTGTCTATCATCTTTGTGTCTCCATTCATTCTGGTTTCTCCCTTTACTTATTATCCCTTTTGGCATTCAAAAGGTCCTTCAGTGGATATCCATAATGAAGTAGACACTCACCTTCCACATACTCTTACATTACCTGTAACTACAGGTAAACCTCTTCACTATACAGAGCTTATGAATGGTAATGTTTGTCTCCAATAGCCAGAGAGCTCTTGCATTTTTCCTTTCCTTTTAAGCACTATGATAATAATACTTTTCAGGACTTTTCAGTAGAAGAAAAATATAGTGACATCTGCACTATATAATGGCAAGTGTTATTTTGCTACCCCAATATAGCAGCTGGTAGAGAAGTTATCTCATCTATGTATTTACAACATAGAAACCCATCTCTAAGACAGGCTCCACCTTCCTCTTTCTCTAAAGACAACTAACTCCAAAACTGAAAGTAATCCATATGACAAGAAATGACTAATAAAGGATTAATTGCTTTCAGGAGGTGATTTTATAGAAAGGAATCTAGATGGCAGGCTTAGACTTTAGGTATGCCTGCACTGGTAAAGAGCTTAACCTTGAGGTTTCTCTGAGGTTAATGTATTGTTGTCATTCAAGTCACACAAATGCCAGTTTCTTCTTGCTCGTCCTATTTGACAGGAGGAATGAAATATTTCAGTCCTCTGAAATGAAATCAGGCTGTGATTCTACAAATAGCTCACTTAAAGAACTAATTCTGAGTTAGCATATTGGATGAGACCAGGCCAAATTTTAGTCTTTTCACTATAAACAAGTCTTCCACCACTAATTCATCAATCCTTTGCCCTACAAAACCTGCACACAACCCCCTGCAATAGCTTTGGGAATGATACTCAGCATCAGTTTATATATAAAAATAGTACTTTGAAGGGCTACAGTCTACCATTCACTCTATTTTAGGCATTTTTAATGAAAAATGAGTGCATGGCAGAAGTATTATATCTGAGAAACAGAAACGTCACACAGAGCCTGAATGACTCTTTGTCCCTATCCAATGTCAGGGGAGGTTTCAATATGATCCCAAGAGCAAGATTAAGACACAAACAAGGTCAAATGCCATATACCCAAACCAGTTTTTTATTATTAAAAGTGAAGAGGAGCAGTAATAGATCTTTTCTCCTTGAATCAATATATAAAGGTAATTTTTATATTACATATTTTTTAATAGGATAGTTCAGGTTGAAAGGCACCTCAGAAGGTCTCTAGCACAATATTATACTAGAAGTGTTACTGATTGTTACTGACTTGTTAATTTGAGTTTGGCGATTTTGATAAGGAATGATTAGGACTAATAAATTAAATGGAATCTCACAGAAATATTGTGGTTTTTTTATAAAAGATAGTGGTGTAGTGTTTTAAAGTAGTCATAAAGATGTATATAGTTTTAAGTAACCATACAACCATTTACACTGATAGAGGAGGTACCATTGTTAGACTGTTTGGTAAGGATGATTTATTTCCTTGCAGACCAGGTGTTTTAAAAGTTGCATTGTGGAAGAGCCTCAGAACATGTTAAAATTGCAGTGTGAGCCAAAGTACTTGAGTCAAGGACGTTGAGGAGGTCTTTCTTTTAGGTGAGCAGTCTGTGGTGGGTGCAAAAACAGCGCCCTGACTCATTTCAGGTCTCAGCTGCACATGACTGGAAAGAGGTGGGAATATGAAAATTACTTACAATGAAGCAGCATTAGTTTTCTCTGGTGCAATCCATATCATTCCTCTTGCTCTGCTCCTCCTGGAAAGAAAAGGAGGAATATTCTCCCTCTTTGCCAACCAAGTGTCACCCTAAGAAGACAGGAAAAATATGGAGGAGCTTCCTCTGTGAATTCATAGTGCACTGCACAAAGACAGTAAACCTGCAAACCCTCTAAACTATGAAGCATGCAAAAATATAATCTACAGTTCATTGTCAGTTATAAATCCTGGTTTAGCCTATCCTGGTATTTCTTTCTCTGCCTTCCCAACTACAGCAGAATGAAAGATGAATCTGTTAATCTACTAGTTAAAGTAGGAAAAAAAAAAAAAAAAAAAAAAGTACTTACATCTTAATATAGTTCTCCTATTTCATGGCTTTGGTTTTAGAGAAAAGCTGGAAACTCATTTTCTCTGGTTGCTCACAAAGGAATATAGCCACACAGACCAAGCATGCCAACAGAATCAAAGAAAGAATAGAGAAAGGAAAGGAAGAAGAAGTCAATGCATGTCAAGGGAGCCCTGCCCAGCAAGCCTTTTTGAAAAGCCCACCTAATTTTCTAGAAACATTTTAATCCTAATTGAAGGCCAGAGCGAATCTGGCTGAAGATTAACATGGTACTACACTGATGGTTGCTATTTCAACTAACAGCTATAAGACTCATCATTGTTTTGTGTAGAACTTGCTCTGATTACACAAGAATGTGGGAGGAGTATGCAGAAAATCAACTTCGCGTTTTAACCTGTGAAATTCATATTATATTATAATTTATATATATAATAGGCATGCTGGTTCATCCTGGTTTATATCACACATGAGTGTGGCTGGAGATGATTCTACTACTGAGACAGAGTCACAGATAATTTATTTTTCAATTCCCTTCTCTCTCTGCACCTATGGACATGCTCAGTTAGCCCCTTCTATTACTTCTTCAGCCTGTATAAACTGACATCCTGCAACTAGAATTTTGGGGGTGTGTTGGGGGGGTGGGGGGTGTGTGTGTAGAGATCCCCTGCAGCAACTGAATCCTTCCCAGCTTTGCCTCATTTCTACACTGGGGCCAAAGAACAGGATTTAATCCTGAGGGGGATCTTCAACATTTTTCATGTCCCCTAAAGAGCTCTAAGTGCTCTATGCTAGTCCAGGAAAGAGCGTGCCTCCAGCCCTTCTAACAGCCCTTGCTGCCTCTAAATCACTTTGGGTATTTAAACCACTTGGAGTCACTCTCCCTGTTCCTCTTGCACCCCAGGCAGCCTGTCTGTGCTGGGTAGAGTGAAGCACTAGAGACAGCCCTGCTTTGTTTCCAAATGAAATTTGAGTGAGTCTGCACATTGAGCAGCATGAGCAAAGATCAGGGGACCAGGAAACTCGCTTATGGACTTCGATCTCTGATGCCTCTCCTGTTTATCAGCACTGGTACTGGAGCATCCCTATTGGCCCTCACAATATGTGGTTGTCAACAGGATACTTCATGGACACATGGCCCATTTTGTCCAGGGCAGATGTTCCTTCTGCTCTTCACCACACAAGAACAGGAAGACTAACTGCTCTATTTCAGTGCTTTGGGCACAGCTCACAGTTATATGGACACAGAGGAGCCAGAAGTGAAAATCCTCCTGCTCCCCCCCAATCTGGTAGATGTGACTCTTGTCTGGGGGTAGGGTAACAGGTTTGGGCCATGAGGAGGGAGAGATGGAGGGAGGGATGGATGGATGGAAGATATCACTCCCAGGGAGAAGACCCTCTCCACATTACCTTGCTTGTCCCTTCCCAGCCACCTACATGACCACAGCCATCTACAGGGCGACAGGCTTTGATTTAGAGATACTAGTATGAGGGGCCCTGGGAAGACAAAAGAGGTCTCTGTGTTTCCTGTGCAGGCTAAGCAGTACAAAAAAGGAAATGTGGTTTCCTGTCGCCACCCAGGCCAGCAGTGACAAATTTATCCAACTCCTCAGTGTACGAAACATCTGCAACCGCAAAGGGGTTGCTCAGAAAAGGTTGAAAATCTGCCTGAGGTTGCAAGAAGGTCTGAGTCTTCAGTGCTGGGAGGACAGGGCATTTCTCTGCTGACTCGGATAGAGGAAGGTCTAAGTCCTTTTCAGCCCCACAGTTTTACTTTCCTACTTCATGGTGCACCATGCAAATTCCTCTGGGGAAGCCTGCAATGCTCCTCTGGATGCTGGTCATCACCTTTGCTGCAGCCCTTAAAGGTGAGAGCCCCCCACCCCTTTTCCTGGGAAGAGGACATGGTGATGTTTGGGTTTTTTTTGTATTTCCCTCTGCCTGTAACCTGTATCATTCCAAAAATACTTTGCCCTTTCCTGCCCTCCCATAGGATATGTGGAGTTTGAGGGACCAACAGAAGATGGAGATCTGACATTGCCCTGCAGTACCTCACTGCCAGGCATAGAAGAGATGTTCACCAGACCGAGGGGTAGAAGAGATGGGAGCCCAAGTTGGCTCTTCCTGACCTAGGAAGATCTGAGCTCTGTCATCCCATGGTATCTTGACCCCTCTCTCCAGATCCCCAGAGCATAGCTCAGCCCTGCACTGTCCTGGTGTGGGTGGGAGTGGGGAGCCAGTTCAACTCTGGGCTTAGCTCTGGCTGGAGAAGGAACATGGGTAAGATGATCCTGATGCTGTCATCTCCTTTTAGCAGATACTGCAGGAGGCAAGGGAGGTCCCAAGAGAGGTCCCAGGAACACAGGGCTATTTCTGTGCCCAGGTATTTCCATGCCCCACTGTAATTCCTATCCCATGCATTCCTGCTCTGTCACATTTAATTTATTCACATATTGGCGTATCCAGCTCATGGAAAGAGAATGGTGGTGTAGGGGAATGGGAAGTTCTTTGGAGATATAACTTCTCTGTAAAAGGGAGAGCAAGGGGTTGTAGCCCCCCAGCATTCTCCTTCTCCCCTACCAGCTGAATGGACAGTCTGTCAGTGGTGGGGAGCAACCCTGAATGAGGGGGATAACAGGTGAAAGTGACAGGGGGTCTTTGGGCACCCTGCACCTATCCTCTTGTTGCTGTGACTGTGGCCATGTGTTGTGGAAGATATGAGCTCTTAGATGTGGCTGGTGGTGAGTGGAGAGGGGCTGATAGCACCCAGGGCTTAATGCATCTCTTGCATCCAAACCTTTGAACTCTGGATTTCACTTATACCAACAGATGCCTAGTGTGTGTCAAGTTTGTCTCCTACATCTACCACAGTTCTTCCACATTGCAACATGGGGCTGCTGTGGACAGGCAAACCACCACCTCTAGGAGTAGCTCCCAGAAAACATTTCTGGTCTTCTTCACCCTGCATCCTCAGGACCCTACAAACTAATTTTGCATGTGGTGACTTAGCACAGCTTTCAGGAGCCAGTCAGGAACAAGTCAAAATCCTCTGTGTCTGCTCACCCTGTGACCAGTGAGTTCCAGTGAGATCCTGCCTGTCCTCTACCTCCAGCCCTTCCAGTTTCCACGCCAGGGCACTGCTACAAAAGGGCCAGTGTGAAGCACTGCAGGAAAGAGGATAGAAAGAGAACTAGACACTCCTGTGAATGCAAGAGGAAGAAGAGGAGAACTACTGTTAGGGAAGAGGGAGTGGATCAGGGGATGCCTCTCCTTCTGCTGAGTCAGGGCTGGAAGAACCTAGCAGAGCCACGGAGGATCACAGCTCTGACACATACTTCTGCAGGACTGCAGGGTACATTTGGACCATGGTCCCACAAAGGGTGTAGGTGAGCACCAAAGGTGAACCCAGCATGCTCACGCCACCTCTACCCATGCAGTGACTTGAACTGGTTTGTCCCCTGGGCTCATGTTCCCATTGCTGCTGGGCGATGGTCATGAGTCCAGAAGGGTCAACAGGTTCCATCAGCCCAACCCAGGTCTTGACTCTCCCTTCTGGGAGTGAAGAGTTGGGTTCTGCTCCTCTCTGTGTTCCTTTGGGAATTAGTTCCTCTTCTCCCTGCCCCAAAACAGATGGACATGATCCCATAGAGGATGGGTCCTTGGTTCCTGACCTTGCCCTCTGAACAGCACTGCTGGGAGATGAGAGCCATGAAGGAAGCAGATAAGAGACTGGGACTGAGTAGGCCTGGGGCAACCTTGCACACCTTGGCCTGGTACTGCTCAACTTTAATTGCATAAGATGAATCCATGTACAGATATCATCTTCCATTTTTAGGTGGGGTGGGATGCTGGTGCAGTGCAGACGGGGGGAGTTTTCAGAGATTTTTCTGAGCATGGAGTAAGAGGAAGACATTACAAGACAAAGCCAATAATTGCCCCAAGGAGCTGTGCAGTGTCACTTTGAGCAGCCTTTGGATTTTCTAGGGGCAGGTCATTTCCTATGCAGATTTAAGAGCCTCATGCTTCCTGTACCTCTGGGGTTCATGTGCAACTGGCAAACCAATTTCCCATGTGTCTGTGCCCTGGTCTCTACAATCTCTGTGCACAGGGATGTGGATCAGGCATAGCTGGTGAAGGGAACAGAAGGACTGGGAAGGGCTGGGGATTCCATGCTCTCCTTCTGCCAGGCTTCTGGAATCATATTTAAAGCTATGGCATGTTTAAGAGCAGTTATCTAGATTCTTATGGGTCTCCTGCCTCAGCAGTCCTTTGACCAGTAAAAAGAAATATTGGTCTGTGGTGTCTGGGTGAGCCACTGCCTCTAGGGATAACTCCTGGAACTAAAGGCCAAAATTCTTGTTTTGTGCACCCTACAATCCCAGGATGGACTACTGTACCCGTAAGTTTTCTCATAGACACTCAGATCTCACACCTGCCCTGTGTCTTTTCAGGTTCCCTTTCCCCAATAAAGATGGTGGCATCTGGTCCCAAGGAGGGGAAAGTGTCTGGATCACTCCCACTCACCTGTACTGTAACAGGAACACCTCTGGATAGCCCTCGATATGACTGGAATTGTGTCCGTCAGGCCCCAGGAGGGGAGCTGCAATTTCTAGGTTGGATCTATCCTTTTGGAAATAACACAGGCTATGCCCCACCCTTCCAAGGCCGAGTCACCATCTCTGCAGATAAAGACAAAAACAAGATCTCCCTGCAGCTGCATGACCTTACAGCCTTAGACACAGCCACCTATTTCTGTGCCAGGCAGAACACAATGATGCCAGTGGAGGGAGAGGCAACACAAAAAGGGAGAATACTGCTGTGGTGGGAGGGCCCTTGCTCAAAATGTTGGTTGCCTGTACTTGGTCTGGGAAATATCAATGACAGTTGGGATTAATAAATGTTGGAACTCCCAGTCTATCCATGGGCAACTGAATGCGCAGTAAAATTTATAATGGAAGCTAGAAATAAAATTTAACTTGTGAATAAGTCCCATGGGCAGGCCAGTCCCCAAACCCCTCACACAGCACTGACTCTATTCACAGACTTCAGCACAAGCAACAATCACTGCCTCTTCCTCACAGCTACCCTGATGCTTCTGTAATCCCAGGAATTAAAGAACAAAGGGACCACATTAGGGCATCGCTCTAGGCAGGGATTCTGTGGAGCCAGTTTAGGCACCACAGGAGGGCACATGACTCCTCTGGGCAGCCCAAATCTGCCCAAACATGTCTGTCCAACCCTCTCCTGTAAAGAAGATGTTGTACCCTTGGAGGGTAGGTAGCCGCACAGGTCTGGGCATGGAAAAATGGATGGATGCTTTGTTATATCCGGGACCCGACATGGAGCTTGAGCAGTGTCACAATGCAGCAGCATGTGTGAAATATTGCTGCATAAGGGAAAAAGCTTTTGGGCTGATGGGGCTTTTTGGGTGAGAGGATCCTGCAAGCAAGGGACCATGAGGAGAGAGGGAGGTGCCTCTGAGGGCACATAAGTGGTGAAGGAGAAGAGGGAGGAAGAAGGCAAATGGTATCCTGGGCTGCATTAGGCTAAGCATGGCCAGCAGGTCAAGGAAGGGGATCCTTCCCCTCTGCTCAGGATTGATGAGGCCGCACCTGGAGAGCTGTGTCCAGTGCTGGGCTCCCCAGTACAAAGAGACATGGACATACTGGAGACAGTCCAGCAAACGGACACAAAGATGATTAAGTGATTGCAGCACCTCTCTTGTGAGGAAAGGCTGAGAGAGCTGCGACTGTTCAGCCTGAAGAAGAGAAGGCTCAGAGGGGATCTTAATGAATACCTGAAGGGTAGGGTGGGTGTAAAGGGACGACAGAGCCAGGCTCTTTCCAGTGTTGCCTACTGACAGGAGAAGAGGTGGTGGGCACAAATGAAAACACAGGAGGTTCCATCTGTACTTTAGGAAACACTTTTTTACTGTGAGAGTGACAAAGCACTGGCACAGGTTGCCCAGAGAGGTAGTGGAGTCTTTCTCCTTGGCAATACAAAGAAGCCATCTGGACATGGTCCTTGGCAACTGGCTCTAGGTGGTCCTGCTTGAGCAGGGATGGTTGGACCAGATGACTTCCAGAGGTCCCTTTCAACCTCAGCCATTCTCTGATTCTATGATTCTAAGGTGGCTTCTATAGTTTCCAGGTCAGGCCTGCAGTGAGGCTGAGCATGCATTCCTGACAGGCACACTCATACAGTACACAGTATATACATGGCTGGCCACACAGATCAAGAAACACAGAGAACACAGCACTCATGCAAATATGAACAGCACAAACAGCTTGATATTGTTTCCTTCTGTGGCTGATCAGGATGAAAGGCCATTAATTGAAAACACGTACATACATGCCTATATTCAAATATATACACTGTGGATACTTCCATCCTGGTCCTAGGAACCCAGGTCTCTCCAGTAGTTGTCCACACCTCTGAGACCTACAGTCTCACTCCAGTTGTTTGTTCTGAGACTTATGCACCCACCCACAAACAGACACATTCTATGCCCCCTCTCCCAGTAACTGACCATAGAAATCCAATCCATGCAGTAGCTGTCCCTGGATCCCCTAGTGTCCCAGTTGCCTCACATGTAAAGGGTCTCTCTTCTAGCTGGTCCAGACCTCTGGCCTTACCAGTAGCTGAACAGAGTCTTGGACCTCTGTCCTGTGCTCTGGTACTTGGTTTGAATCTCCTGCCCCCTCCTCCCTGTAGCCAAATCTCAGATTCCCTCTTTTCTCCAGTACCTGGTCCAGACTTATGCCTGCTTCAACTTCCAGCTCCCAAGCCTCTTATCCTACACATTGGCTAGTCTGGCTACATATTCAATAGGGATTGCACACATTGACATACACACACACACAATATGCACTTCACAGTTGCTGGTACTCCAGACACAGGTGTTCTTTTGACCCATGGTTCCCCCTCCAATTTCTGGTACCACCTTGAACCAGGCATTTATGACCCACAGTGTATTTTGCAGTTACTGGCACTTAGATCTCCATACACGCACATACACACAGAATAGGTAGCCCCCTCACCTAGGAATACAGTTAGAAACTAATTTTAATAAGAAGATAGGACAGCCTGGTGGGAATCACATGCAGTGCATGGCCAGACAAATTAACTGACCAGCCCCCAGTGCATCAACAGGTCCTTTTTATCCCCTTTTCCCTGTTTCCCCACATTTTTCTCTCCTTGAAGCACAGTGATCCCTCCTTTTAACCATCTTTTTCTCTTTCCTTAGCATTTCTCCTGCATATTCTCACAATCGCCTTAGAGCACTTTATAATAAGGTGTCTTAACAAGGATTGAGAAGGGGAGAGGGAGAGGGTGTTTGTGTACCCCATGAAGTAGATATATTATTAAAACAATATGCAAAGAAAATTTATCTCCTCAAAGGGCACATAGATATGAGAAATTTCTATTATCAGCTGATAATTTCAATTTGGAAAGGTACAAGTCATTAAACCCTGCCAGCTTAATGCCTTTACCCTCCAATGGAGAAAAAGATAATCATAAATGTGTTCAATTATTAAGTGAAACCAGGAAATCATGAGATGATTTGAAGGATCAACCTTTGGATAAACCTGATTTGAACCTCTTCGCAGACAGCTCCTCCTAGTATGAAGAAGGTGAAAGATGCACGGGGTTTGCAGTGACTACACAAACAGAGGTACTATTGCAGAACCTTTGCCTGCACCTCTAGGTGCACGGGGAGCAGAGATAATTGCCCTTATGGAAGCTTGTAGCAGGAACCCCCTTATTTGCAGGATGAGGCTGTGAGACAAGACACACACCAATATGGTTAACAGTCAAGCTCCAAAGTTTATTAGAAAAACAAGTCCTTACATATTCTTGTGACAGCAAATCCGTGTGTTGCTCTGACACATGTTCATTTCAAAAACTCATTCCTCTCAGCACTTTCAACAAGCACTACTAAGCATGCACAACTGGTAGATAAATTTCTGCTTTGTTATTCTAAAGATTCCCTTCTTATCTGTTTCTTCCCTAATGAGCAAAAGTACTTTTGCTTTTAGCCGTCGTTAATCTATACACTGTTAATCTTCTAACATAAGTGTGTCATTAATTTAGACAGCGCTAATCTTCTAATTTGAATGCTGATGACACTTTTACATTGTCAGTGAAGCAGACGGTTCACAACCCTGCATACGCACCCACAATTCCCTTTTCTTTTTATTAAGGTCTCCATCCTATTTACCACACAAGACAGACAACCTCTCATTAAAACAGGAAGACAGCATGTCAATAATCCCACTACATACATTGTATTGTAGTTAGTAACAATGCCAAAAGGTAAATTGAGAGTGATCAGAAAGATTCACACAGCACATACCCTCAAATTCTTCACATCCATGTCCTGGTGCCAGTAACAAAAATCTATAGTTGCTTTATTCTGCAAAAGAGCATGCCTTATACTACTTTCATCTGTCAACAAATTAATTGCTATGTTAGATGTTAAGTTAAATTGTTTTACACTCCAACAGGCTGTTTTGTTCATGGTGGATAGAGCTTTTATAACCCCTACTCCCGGGGGCTAAGAGAGATGTAGTGACAATCTCTCCAGGCCTCCACAATGCCATTTTATTAAAGGACACACAGCAATTTATAGACTACCATGATGTACACACACAGCTACTTGATTGCTCATAGGCTAAAGCTACTTGTCCATGCGCCTTTTTTACCATCTATGATTGGTCTCGGTGTGGTGTCCATGAGCCATTCTCCTGCCAGGGAAACATCTTGTTTTCCACAGTCCAGCTTCCTTATCTTTTTGCTACATACCTAGTTTCTCAGCCCCTTGGCCTTGCAGGTGTTCTTCACAACAGCTACAGCCTGTTGGTACAGTGAGGCCACTCAGTTTGGATAGCTCATAATGTGCCCATTGTTTTCCAGCCATTCCACAAATTCCTCTTTTTGTTTTTGAGCAATCCAGACCCCTTTTATTGCTCAGTCCATCGTTCTCAAAACACTTCCACATACAGTTTAACATCATTAAAAGGATTATAATGACAATTTAAATTGTTATTCCATGTAAAAACAGATTTTTTTAACTATTCAGTAATTGGTAACCTTTTAGCCAAATCATTATTAAATATTCTTCCTTCTTCAAGATGTAAACCCATCGTGTAAGCACCGCTACAAAACCAACTGTCATTTATTGGTAATGCTGAAGGAGTCACGTTTTGCCATCTCAGCTAGACTGTCTGATTATACCAACCATGTGTCAGGCTTTTTGTCCACCAAACTATGTACATCCCCTGGCCTGATCTTGCATGCTATTCCCAGCTACTGGGGGAAGAGAGCCTCTCAGTTCTAACTCCAATCAAACAGGTCTGAGATGTGTCGGCAGCAGTTGCTAAGCCCAGGCAAAATGCCTGCTGTCCTGATTGATTTTTCCCTGCCATCTTGGCACAACTCAGCAGTTTCTTATCTATCCTATGAGGCCTGTTCTTCGTCAAAGCTTAGCTGCTTGTCAGAGGCTGTGTAAGGCCGATGCCTCCCAGATCTCCCCTTACTTGGTTTAGCAATGACACCTGCAAGACTTGTTTGAGAGCTGTATCCATTATGGGCTAGACAAACTTCAAAAACATAGCGTACTTAGAATAGTTCCACAGAAGGCTAAAACAATACAGCAGCTACAATTACTGATTAAAGGAGTAGGCTAATTTCAGTACCTATAAATAAGGGATATGACTAAATACTACAAAATAAAGAGTAAGGAAAACACGGAGTAGCACACCTACTTAATGGGGTACTGACATTCAGATCTGCAATCGCTGGGGAACCCTGAATGCAGCGAGAATTCAGAGTGCCCTTCCTCACAAACTGGAAATCCTACGCGATGCGTCCATCTGTATGTGAGGCATCCAACATTGCTGCAAGCTGGTCCAGCCTCTAAATCAACAGGCCAAAATAACTGGCAACTCTCTTTGAGTGGAAGCATCTGATCTCATCCTTCTGTTGGGTTCCACCTGGAGCCTGGCCAGTACTCCAGGGGGAAAAACCAAGGGAGTTTTTAAATAAGGTTAAACACTTGAGCTCTTAATTCTTAATATTGCTAAACAAAGTTGAATACACACATTCTTATAGTATTTCATCCTTATTAATAACTACATTTCATCTAAACTACATGTTTCACTTGTGACTATTAAGCCTGTATATTTAATTAAGGAGTTGTAATTACTGTTAGTGTTTTCTCTTAAAAGAATGGGAACTGTAGTGTGGTTTGTCCTATTGCAGTAGCAAACATTACTCAGACATTCTGCTTAATTGATCAGTCGAAGAGATCTCAAACTGTCAGCACAGGGATACCCATAGCACCCACAGCTGGATCCTGAGTGCTGGCTGCCTCTCACGCCTCAGGTGTGGTTGCACACACCTTGTCGGAAACCATTGGAGACTGAGACCTGTGGAGACACAAGCATAACCTCTTCCCTAGGTTATTAAAGGACATGGTCCTACCCAGTTACTACTTTCCAGGTTTGGGTTTTTTTTTTTTTTTTTTAACACTTGAGCCTTGCCCTGGACTTCTTGTTGATCTCGTATCTGTGCTGAGAAATTACACAATATTGGTGGCACCTGTGAGACAGGGGAAATGTTTAAAAGTTCATGATATACAATGCCTTATTTATCCTTTCATGAGGTGTAGATGGATATCTTGCATCTTCTTCTGCTGTTGTTGTTGTTGTTGTTGTTGTAAAAGACTCTTTAGCTTGCTAGATGTATGCTCCACAATGGCCTGACCAGCCAGTGAGTGCGTAATGCAGATCAGATGTTTGACTCCCCACTGTATGGCAGGATGCAAACAGTGCTCCAGAAAAGGTACTAACACACATGTACATATTTTAACATTTGAAATGCAGCTGAGTGACATCAGATTGGCATAATTCTGAGGAGGTGAGTCCCCAAGGGTTGACACCACGTCCGAGTTGAAGAGACGGAGTCTGTCTGGTATTCAGGGCAAGTTGCAATGATGTCTTTAGCCTGATGCCTTGATAAACTGTTTTTTTATTGCCCTGGCACTCTGGTGGAAAAAATGCATGTGTTTTTCATCCCACTGAAACAGCAGAGCATATGGCTGACCTGGAGCCAGGACCTCTCCCCCTTTTTGTTTTTGCAAAAGCGCTTTCAAGGATTGGTGTGCTCTTTCTACGATGGCTTGTCCCGTGGGGGAATGCAGTATACCTGTGATGCTTGTCTGTTTGAGATGGCATTAGCTGTATGGTGGAGATCTTGTTTTGCTTTCTCTGTAACTACTCTGGGTGATGTCAGTGAAGGATCATTTCATAAAATATCAAACAAGCTATGCAGATCATCATCAGTTAGGCCCACAATGGCTGTATCCAATTTATGGTTCCTAACAATTTCTGTAAATCTTTTAAAGTCTTAATATCAGTTTTAAGTTTAACCTGTTGCAGGACAATAGTCTGTTCACAAATTCTCCAGCCCAGGTACTGTCCAGTGATGATCTCTGTACCTTTTCAAGTGCTGTTTGCAACACCATTTGAGATAGGGAGTGTCTGGTTAAAGCAAGAGCCTTTTCCACGATCTCCTGTGTTTCTTCTGCAATAAGGATGTCATCCATATAATGATATATAACAGCCTGGGGGACCTTGTGGGACTTCTTATGTTTCATGCTAAAATAACACAGTGGTGTGTTGTTTTGCAGGTTCACTAATATTAATAGTGGAAATAGAAAAGGTAATTTTAGGTGCATCATTTCGATGCAAGGGAATGGTAAAATTTATCAATCCTTTAGATCAATTACTACAAGATGCCAGTTTCAGGTAAGCATTGCTGGGGAGGGCATTCATGGTTGTAAAGTACCCTTATCCTCCATGGCATCATTAATGTGTCGGAGATCATGTAAAAGTCACTATTTACCACTTTTCTTTAATATAAGAAACTTAATTGTCCCTGAATTAAACCATTAAGGTGGCACGACTTTTTCCTGTGGCAGGCCAGCCACCCACACAGGTGATTCTGTTTCCCAGGTTAGTTTCAGGGTGGGTTGTGCTGCAGTTATGATTAAGACAAATTTGATCCAATCTGAGTTCCCCACTGAGCCATACAGTCACGACCTCAAAATGTAATAGGGGTTTCCAATATAAATGGATGAATATTTGCTACCCAGTTTTCTGGGCCCCTTACATGACTGAGATCCTTGCTTTGAATTGCTACAGCATGACCACCAACCCCGAAAAGCACTTGAGTTAGCTGAGCTAACAGATATTACGGTCACATCCGCGCCAGTATCTAAAATGCCTGTCAGCTCAGCAGATTCTTTAGCTTTAGTGAGAATCCATTTTACCAGAAGTCAATCTTGTGTCACTGTCTGAGCCCAAAATATTTAAGTGGTACCTGCTGATCCAAATCCCGAGTCATCGCAGCTTCTCGGCAGAGTATTAGGGGGAGCCGCAGTAAAATAAGCAAGCTGAGCAATTTTTTGACCTTTATGTTACTGAACACGGGGGTACGGGGGTCCAGGCCATAATTCTTATTTCCCCTCATAATCAGCAGCTATGAACCCTGGTAAAACGAACAACCCATGTAAGATTGTAGATGATCTTTTGACAATATTTCTGCCAGGCAGAGGGTACAGAGGTGCACTCTTCCCACAGAGTATGCACCTAAATGCAAGACAACTATTAACACAGAATTACTGCCTCCTGCTAGAGGAGATATTTCACCTGTGACACTTAAAACCCTGAGCCCAAACAAAGAGCACCACTCAGCAGGCGGGCACTAGGACCCTCCGCACCAAGGAATCTCAGCTGCAGTTTCGTTCCTCCCCGGCCACTTCCCTGGCGGGTCAGAGAACTCCGCACTCTGCAGCTGCAGCTGGGCAGCGTCTCACACATGCGAAACAATCCCACAACCACACACAGAGGCCCCTTACACTTATTACTGACACAACATAAAACGACAAACACTACAAACATGGAAACATCATTAAGAATATTTAAAGCCATTGCTGCATGACAGCGTCAGCACCTTCTCTGTGAAAAAAATGCCGCTTTTGGCAGGGGAGGGGGGGAGGAGGGGCTAGGCAGGCGTGGGCCGAGAGCGCGGTGCCAGGCTTGGCCACAGGCGGCCGCCCCGCTGGGGGGGGGCTCGGGGAGTCCCCGGGCTGCCACCGCCAACTCCGTGCCTATAGGTGGGGGGGCGCGAATGCTGAGCACAGAGATCCACGCACTCGATTTTCCAGATAGAGTACTGTGCCGGCATGAATGCCTCTTTTACAAGTGCCAGCCAGTTCCATGGGACCAATCGATACCCCTGAGCGATTGCCTCCAGTACAGCTGTTGTAAATGAGTTTTGCAGCCCGTCCTCATTAATGCTTGTCTGTAGTTCTCTAATAACAGAAAAATGCCGTCCTTCCCAATGTGCCTGATGTCCCGACTCATAGCTTACAGGAGCAACAATCTTTCTCGCCATGTCCATATCCCTTTTGCCAAGGTTTCTCACCTCGCTTTTACCCACGGATCATCTCCAGCTAAGGGAGGTCACAGGCCAGATTCTTTTTCAGGATTTACAGTGTCAGGGTCTAAAAAATTATCACAGTCAAAAGACCCAGCATATAAATCTTGCTCCCGGGGTTCAAAATGCGCATCCTCGCCCTCTGTGTTCCCATTCTCTGTGTTAACAGCCTGGCCACGTTCATTGATTTGTCTTTTTATTATCTCAAAAACAGTTCTCAATTAGCTCACTCAGTGAGCTTTTTAAGATTTCTAAGATGTTTCTTTGCTTCTCATAGACAGGATACTTAACCGCAGTTTTAGGGCCACGTCTTTTTCGATACCTGCAGGATTTCCACACTCTGGTGTTTCGTCCTGTGACCTTCTGCTTCCTTGCCTGCAAGCTCCTGGTATCACCTTCGGTGATGCTTTGGAGTCTTCCACATTTAAGCGAGTTTCCACATTTAAGTGAGATTCCGCATTTAAGTGAGTTTCCTCATTTAAGCGATAAAAAGGATGTCCCTATTCGAGCGCCAGTTGTAGCAGGAACCCCCTTATTTGCAGGATGAGGCTGTGAGACAAGACACACACCAATATGGTTAACAGTCAATCTCCAAAGTTTATTAGAAAAACAAGTTCTTATATATTCTTGAGACAGCAAATCCCTGTGTTGTTCTGGCACATGCTCCTTTCAAAAACTCATTCCTCTCAGAACTTTCAACAAGCGCTACTAAGTGTGCATAACCAGTAGATAAATTTCTGCTTTGTTATTCTAGAAATTCCCTTCTTATGTTGAATTAAGGGACAAGAAAAATAGCTGTAGGGTTAAGGTTATGCAATGTTTGTTTTGCTTAATAAGTAACAAAATATTTAGCTGCCCAAATAAGGATACTTGCTTAAGCGACCATGAAAATACTTCTTGATAACAAGAATTTATAACCCTAAGAATGGGTTGAAACCAGCCCTGTGGTAAGGCATATAGCCCAAAGACTACAGAGACTGTGCAAGGAGCCAGGGTATAAAGTTCAACAGTGAGGAAGAGGAGCTACTTCATCCCTGCGACCCCAGCCCACGGCCACTGGGACACACTGCACAGGTGCAACTAGGAAGAGACTGGGGTGGAACATATGAAAATGTCTTTCAGGCTCATTATAATATGAAGCGGGGATAGGTCATGTATATATATATATGACTATCATGAATATGCAATGCTTTGCAGTATAAAGCTAAGACAAGGTGCCATGAGAGGTTTGCACATCTGTGGTGGAGCAATCCCCCATGCACCCAGCGCTGAATAAACATACCTACTTTAAAACCTCTTAGGTTTTGGAGTCTGTTCTCCAAAAGTCAATATTTTTCTTCCCTAATGAGCAAATATACTTTCGCTTTTAGCTGTCATTAATCTAGACACCGTTAATCTTCTAAAACAAGTGCATTATTAATTTAGACATCGCTAATCTTCTAACTTGAATGCTGATGACACTTTTACATTGTCAGTGATGCAGACTGTTCGCGACCCGGAATACACACCCACAGAAGCTGCAAAATATGCAGTTGGGACCAGAGTTAACATTTATACAGTCTCTATATATGCTTTTGGTATCTTGCATGCAACTGGGACTTTATGGAAAGAATGGGGTTCTTAACATCGACAGAGAACACTCATAGAAAGCAGATCAAGGAATTCTTAGAGGCTACAATACAACTACCCTCTGAGATTTCTGTCATTTATATAAAAGCACATACTCAGAGGCAAGATATCATTTCTAAAGGAAATCCTTTAGCTGACTAAGCAGCTAGAGCCACAGCACAACAGGTTGTGTCCATCATGGTATTATCAAACATGAGGCAATACCCAAATTTACAGATATAAATAAGTTATAAGAAGACCTCCCTGATGAAGAAAAGGAGTGGATCCAGTTTGGAGTCCAGCAGCAAGGAGATACTCAATAACAAGCATCTTCTTCCAAAAAGGTATTTATTACCAATTATGTGATGGCATCATGAAAAAGCTAATGGGGAGCCAGAGAGCTTAGTGCTCTGGATTCAAAGACAAGTCCCGGGTATTTATGCAGAAGCCAAAAGAATCTGAAGGATGTAAACTTTGTAAACAATATGCTTCTGTACGAATTAAGCCTCCCAGAAGAAAAAGACCTCCAGCCACCTTTCCTTTTCAAATTGATTATGCTGAAATGCCAAAACCAGTGGGGTATTCTTACCTGTTAGTGATAGTTGATCAGTTAACAGGATGGTTAGAAGCTTTTCCTACTAGAAAAAATGACGCAAACGCAGTAGCAAAACTTTTACTAAAAGAAATAATTCTGAGATATGGAGTTCCTGGAGTTATTGATTCTGATCCAGGGGGTCATTTCACAGCTGCAATTTTAATTCAAATTCATAATTCCTTAGGAGTTTTTAGTCTATTTCATATTCCACATCACCACGAATCATCTGGTCAAGTAGAACAAATGAGCAGAACCTTAAAAGAAAAATTAGTCAAGGTTTGTAAACAGGCTGGCCTAAAGTGGCCCGATGCTTTAAATTTAGTGTTATGGGATATAAGGAATACCCCAAGACAGGCAATTGGGATTTCCCCAGCTAAAATTTTATTTGGAAGAATACCTGCTGTGCCTGGTACATACATCCCAGCAAACATCAATCTTTTGGATGGAGATGGATATATGATTTCTTTATAGATGCAAAGTTCCTTTTTTTTTTTTTTTTTTTTTCTTTTCTTTCCCCAAATGTGCCATCATGCTTATTGGTATCAGGAAGTTATCTCTGAGATTCAAGTTCATGAAATCCTGGTTTCCAAACTTAATGACTTGGTTAAAGAAATTAATTGTTATTGTTTTCACAATTATAATCATAATAGTCTGTGATTGTTTTGTTTCAATGTTACATTGGTTGTGGTTCTTCTATAATGGAGAAGTGAAATGCTGGGGTTTCAACCCCAAGCCCCAAATTAAGGTTGACATATGGGTAATTCCCACAGCCCTTCACAAAGGGTTGAAGAGTTTGACTTTAACCTTCCCTCCAGGGTGGGGCCGGCCTGGCAGGGAGAGCCATTGGGTAAATGAGCCCCAGGTGTCCAGCATTAAGTAAACAATGGTCAGGTGTCCCACTTAGGGATAAAAGCTGAGACCACTTGCAGGAAGGAGCAGTGTTTGTTTGTGAGGTGGATACACTTTGCAGAATTTCTTTTTTGGGAAGGACCTCCCTGGAGCTGGGCTTCAGTCAGGTCTGGCTTTTATGAGTGTGGGCTGTGTAGAGATTCAGTATGTGGTTTCCTTGGTCTTATGTGTTTTGCTTGTTGACTTGGTTGTCTCCTGTCTCTTCTATGGGAAACTGCATTTCAGCATTTATTTGACTCATTGTTGGTCATGCGGTGTTGTTGAAGTCAGTGGGATTGGTGTCAATTATGTATAATCTGAGCGACTTGTTTGTACCCCCAGCGCTAACCCATGTACTGTCCCTTTTATATCAAATATAATTTGGTTATGGGTTCATCTTTATACTGGCTGTGGCCTTTACGCTAGGCCTGATAATTGGCAAAACCAGAAGATAGAGAGATGTGGAATTATAGATAAGGATTGTAGGAGTGTAATGGAAAAACAAAAGGAGGGAGTTTGTAAAAGAATAAGGTTTAAAAATCTCTTTTCTTCAGAATACTATGAATGGTAGGATTAATAATTTTTTTAATATAGATTTAATAGAGCACAGATGCTCTAGGAATAATACTGACAGTTCAATGCAGTATGCACAGGTTCTCTAGGAACAATACTGACAGTTTAGCAATTCATAAAGGCTAGGTAATGAAAAGCTAGGCTTAGATTAAGTATATGTTAAATAGAATATTTTGAGTTTTAGAAGTCTAAAAGTGAATTATGATGAAGATGGTTCAGAAGATAAATAACCATGATGACCAAAGACTGCATCAGTGAGCAGTGGTGTCTGGAGAGGAACTACACACAGGACCATCTAGGTTGGAAAGGACCCTGGAGGTCATCATCTAGTCCAACTGTTCTCCTAGCACAGTTCCCACCTACAGCATATCCTTAAGCTCCAAATCGACCCTAATCTTGAACACCTCCAGGGATGGGGACTCCACCACCTCCCTGGGCAGCCCATTCCAACGCCCAACAACCCCTTCTGCAAAGAAATGCTTCCTGACATCTAGTCTAAACGTTCCCTGGCACAACTTGAGGCCATTCCCTCTTGTCCTGTCACTTTCTACTAGGCTAAAGAGGCTCAAACCCAGCTCTCTGCAACTTCCTTTCAGGGAGTTGTAGAGGGTGGTAAGGTCTCCCCTCAGCCTCCCCTTCTCCAGACTAAACCCCCCCAGTTCCCTCAGCTGCTCCCCAGCAGACCTGTGTTCCAGACCCTGCACCAGCTTCAAAGCCCTTCTCTGCACACGTTCGAGTAACTCTATGTTGTTTTTGTAGCGAGGGGCTCAAAACACATTAATCAAGGTGCGGCCTCACCAGTGCCAAGTACAGGGGCAAGATCCCTTCCCTGTGCCTGCTGGCCACACTAATCCTGATACAAGCTAGGATGCCACTGGCTTTCTTGGCCACCTGAGCACACTGCTGGCTCATATT